ATTAGATGTAAATTAGTTAAATTCATTAAAGTAAATGACTAAGTGACTACATATAGATATATGTTAGCGTAGTTTAGAAAAAAAACACATTGAGAACTTAACCATAAAGATGGCAAATGGAATATTTTAAGAAGTATTAAGGTTAAAATAGAGATAATAAATAGTAATAGTTCAAGTATACTAGCTAAAAAAAAACACAACGGAACACGTAATTAAGATAGGAGAATTTTTGGCATTGTGTATACATGAATAGAACCAGAAAGTCTTGAGGTCGTGGATAAGAAACGTTAAGAAGTTAAGTCAACAGGAAACCTTAGATTTAGGTTTTGTATTCGTTGGTACTCGTCAGCACAGAGTACATGCAATATCGAGGGAACTGATGGTCTCTGGTAAATTTGAACCTGGACCACTCAGTTTTATAACTTGACGCGTTAGTAGTAAGTTATACGGCTCGCGTATACGGCTGAAGTATTTACACTGACTGAGAAGTAGTCAATGTCATGTTTTTGAGTACTGATCGGAATCTACCAAACTGCTATATAACGACTAATCTAAATGACTCATACACTACATGAACTATGTTTTGATCTCTGGTCGGTTTTAGGTGATTCAAAGAAAATCCTTGATCAAGATTTCTTGCAACTTGATTATGTCACTTGATTGTAAATAATGACAGGATAAATATGAAATTAACAGCAATCCAGTAGAGATCGATCAGTGTAAATACTAAAATCTATCAATCATTAAATGGAAACACCTGGTCCTATAGGAGATCTTAATCTCAGTTAGTCTAAGGTAAAAGTAAATTTTAATTAAACGTAATTAAACTAAACTGAATGAACAGAGCAATAAGACATAATATATTAATAATCAAAAGTGGTACTTTGAATATGTTAAAGAGTAGCCGTCACACAGTCATGTCGCTGTGCACACAAAAACATAATGTAGATCTCTAACGGTGACTGATGATAATATGGTATATTATATCTATGATACATCTCAAAGATCATATTAATAAGCAATCTTAATTAATCGTAAAACAGTCTTTTTAATGGATTCAAACAAAATAACAAGGAAATTAAGTGATATATATGAAGTTTCCTGTAACATTCAGTGTCTGGATTTTTACGAACAGGTAATTTTGTAATGTAACAAAAAATATCAGAAATAGAGCAGCGATTTGATGATTGAAACATTTGGCTTTTAAGTGCTGAACCTCGAACTCAAATTTTGCTTCACTCACTTCGGTATTTTGGTAGATACGTAATATCATTTAGTTTTTGCATAAACAATGTACAGGTTGAAGCTAAATGCCTAAAAATAACTGACAGATACGAAGAGAACCTTGGCGGCCTGTTTAAATATCTGGGTAACCTGTTCCTACCATCTACGTATTTCAACAAGTAATCTTTGTTTTAATATTTAATTATGTCTATTAATCGCATAAACTATTCAGGCGCGTCTACGTAAAGTTTACGACTTTTCGCTGTACAAGTTAAAAAAAGTACAATCTGAGACATCGTGATGGCTGACAGTTTACATTGTAAAGAAACAACATTATTCAAATATCAATTCCTGAATTGCAAACATCTAACTGGAGATCACTCAATATTTATCGTTAATATCGATCAAGAAATAAGAAACGGAAACTCGCAGAAATACTTTGTGCTGAAAATTATATATTGCACTACAGCCACTAGTAATAATAGTAATAATAATTTTTGATAAATGATTTTGCTGGCCCTGACAGAACAATTAATCTTTGAAAATAAGGTTGATAAATAAAAGCTTCCATCAATCAGTACAGAATATGGGGCTTTTTTTAATTTGAAATATGAGTTACGGTTTCAGAAAAGCGAGAAAGATAACCTTTATTTTATAAATTAGGTGGAAATACACTTTGTAATATATGCTATGAATAACGGAGCAAATAAATTAATGAACATTTGAACAATGCGTAAAAGATATGACCATTTAAGATATGATTTAGCAATATTTACTGCAGTATTCCAGCTTACCTCTTCTTGCATGATAGATTCTTGATTCAAATAATTAATACATACGTCTAGGACATAGGCGATAGATCGTTTAGTCTCGGCTAAATGATCAGGTAGATGTCGGCCAAATGTAGTAAGGCATTTCTGTAGTCCTATGGTCCAGAAAAAAAACCAATGATAAATAAATGTATCGGGCATGTACAGCAATCAAAAGGGAAAAGGACGATCTAACAGACAGAAATGATAGATTAAAAGTTTGTAAAAAATATGTTATCGAAGGATAAAACAGGCACTAACGAACCCATTTAAAAGAAATGTGACAGATCTTCACAAAATATTAACTGTCCAACTTTTTGATACAAAAGAAAACGCATAAGTTTATGGAGTAAGCGAAGTTTAATTCCTAGAGTATTTTTCTATCTTAGCATTCACCACAATTAATAATTTTAAAAAAATTCACATTTATCAAGTACAAATTCACGTGTTCAGTTTTGACTTGTAATTTAAGTATGAGATCCAACGACACTAACTGAGTCGTGTAATCGAAGTAAGGAAGGGTTCAAAACTAAAATTTAGCTATGTTAAATTAAAAAACAAAATGTTTTAACCACCAAGTAGTTACGCCTCCCATACCTCGACTAACTATCACAAAATCAAGTGAAAATGTAAATGAGTAAACAGGAAATGTTCTAAAATATATGTGGACACTGAATACCATAATGTATTTATAAACTTTCACATTTGAAAAGATTCCGAATAATGACTTTTATTACTTTGATAGAAGTTCTTTTATCTAACTGGAAAATATTATGCGATTCAGTTGCGTATATGTCAAGTCAGATATGACAATACACAAAATTTCAGGTTCAAAAAAATTTTTGTTCTTGAGTTGTGGAGACAGTTGAATTTCATGGACCGATCAATGTTAGAGTACCAATGAAAACTTGAAAACACTGGACGGTCGATGGTCGTGCAATATAATGGATTGATTGATGTTAGACATTAACACTGCTGGATGTCGACTTAGTGGCCAAGAGGTTAAACGTGCGAGACAGAAGGTCCTGCGTTCAAACCCTAGGTGTGGGATCATGGATGCGCGTTGCTGAGAAGTCCGATATTACAACGAATCGATTATCTAATGCTTTTGGGTTTCCAATGGTGGTTTAACATTGATCGTTCATAAATTAAATGAAAAAAAACGAAAATTAAAATTGTTACAACTTTGGATCATTCAATTGTTAATATATTTGGCTGAATTTTGATCGGTCTCAGTTGGTATTGTACGGAATGCCTTGTTGAAGCCATTATGTTACACGTTCTTATATGATAGATGGGATGTAGTTCGAGGTGGAATATAGGATGTACTTTCCGTTTTATCCCATCTATTCTATGTAGCATATATATGTATCCTTTGATTTTGTGTATCAATTTTTTTGAAAAATTATGTTTTGTTAGTAAATGATGCCGTCAACTATGGATTTTTTAACTGAGTCAGAATTATTTTTTTCAACGTTCATCAACAAGCACCTCGACCTTCAATAAGTGTGTTGTATAAGGTACTTTCAACCATTCTTCTGATTACTTAGAGGGGGTTTTGAGTATCGGTGTGTAATTTTCACTAAAGATTTCATTTAAAGCGTCTAGAGGAATCTGTAACTATCTAGATTGGATATGGTAATGAAGCCCAGCACAATATACTGGATGAAGAGACATGTATGGTGAAAATTACACGTTGATATGTAATGAATACTAAATAAACGAGAGAAAAATTCAAAGTCCAATGTGCAGCACATTTACTGAGCGTTCATAATGGCGCGCATAACGTTGTCTAAATTTTGGTTCAATATAAAGCTTAACGACACAATAAACTGTTAGTTATTTAAAAAATCTTCAGATATGGAGTATGGGTTAGGTGGTACAACGAGACATCAGAAAAAAAAGTATTTCAATCAAGCTAGGGTAACATCCAACTATCACAACAAAATACCAGCTACTGATAATCAGACTACGTTGTTTGAATGTCAAGGAGTTACAACTTAGTTGGCTACATAGTGAATAGACTTTTATTACAAATACTAGTTAAGTTCGTATTTAATTAGTCGAAAAAAAACCATAATCTTAATATATAAAATTCAAACTGATCAGAAAACATGCATAAAAAAATATTTTGTTATGGAATAGGTAACATATTACATTATTGCAAGTTTAAGACAGGTTCGCTTGTATAAATATATTTTACATTATACAACTACACAATGACGGCGCGCACAAACACAAATACGTTATGAAAGAACGAGAAACATTACTGCCTATTATAAATAAAAAAATATATTTGTAATATATCCAATTTATTTATTTATAACAATCTACCCAATACTCAATTTATTCGGAATTATCAAGTCAGACTTTGGTAATGATACCTACAAATTACCATCGATTATTAAGATATGACAAAATTAACAACAAAACTCCTATGATTTTATTTATATGAGCTCAATGTTTAATTTTGTGCCTGATATTGACAATAAGTTTCAGATTAAATGTTTGTTACCATATTTGTTTTTCAGCTATAATAATAACAATAATCGCGCAAATATGCGGAAATGTTGTAAATTTATTTAGTGTATATAAGAGAATTCGGAAAAAGTAGTTAGATATTTAAAATAATATACGTTAGATACAAATTGTGATCTGTAAAACTACAGCTTACGAATTTGTAGATTTTTATTACTGTAATGTTGACATTCAATAATTGAATTTTAATCAGTCACTGTTAGTATATATGAATTCTGAATGAAAGCCTTGAACCACGTTTATCATCAAATTAGCGGTTACCCGGAGTAGATCAACATGCCTCAACGAGTTGCAAGGAGCCTGTAGAAACAAATACTTATAAACGGCCACCAAAATGAATCTCTCTTGTGCCTAAACGGTCGACCTGTGCATTCGAATTTCAAGCTAACACTACAATGCACTTTCTGATAATCACTTAACTGGTGGCAAAACTGATCTTAGATTGCATCTGGACTGCCATTGGTTGGAGCGTAGGCAGAGATAACGAGAATACATCATATTTTACATCGACTTACCGCTATGATGGAGCTTTCTAATCTAACAAAGCATGATCGACTGTCAATGGGGACTTAATAAATTAGTGCCATCTCAGCTCTAGTGCTTAGTGCGACACTAACATCAGCAAAAACCGAACGAATGTCACAGGATCCACAGATAAACGCACATATACCAAGTTTTTCGGGGCGTCAGATGGAGTGTGAATTTGTAGTACTTTACTAGATTCTTGAGTATGGGTCTCGAATAGACAGCAGACATCTATGTTAAGACATTCTAAAGACAGCCAATCATGTCTGTAGTCCGATCTGCATCAGTGTGCAAGCGTTGAATGAGGTCAGTTTGAATGGCCCATGAGGTTTCAGAAAACCCAACTCAAAATTCCTATTCGGAAGTAGCATTCGACTTACGACCAGTCAGTGACCTGAGATCGTTTGAATAGAACACGTTTTCAACTATTGGCGAGCTGATGTATGGATTGACAAATAAAGGAATATACAAAGTGCGAATGAAAAAGAATCGACAAAAGATTCAATATAACATAATAACGAATGTTACTGAATAATTGAATATAATTTGTGAGAGGACTGAAACGAGAATAATTCTTTTGAATCTTTAATTATCATTCAGTTTTTGTGTGGGATGGCATACTGTCCAAGTGCCTAAAGCGAAACATTTAGTTTTCTTAGAGGACCACTCCTCGAGCCTTTTACTCAGTGGTATAATCCACAATGTAGTGGAACGGCGTCAAGAGATGCGGTTCCATGGTAGACGGTGACCAACAATAGGTTCAAACGCCATTTGTTCCCTCAGGATCCTGGAGCCTATACGCATCACTGGGTTCGAATAAGGATCTCCAACTCCCCTAAATGGATCCTCCGTACCCGCCAACCCGATCTAAGTGCCGGACATTCGCTTTCTGTCCTCTCAATCTAGTAAACAACACTCCCACCGCAAGAAGGCAGTGACTATGTACGCATGGCCATATGGGAGGATTTTGAAAGAAAAAGTGAACTCTTGTATTTGTTTAGGGTTATATAAAATAGGAAGTTAGTTTTACCAAACACCCATTTTCCGCATCATCACCCTTTTCGAGTGACAGTGAGTATACTAATCAAAATTCAGTAAAGTACATCAGTTATTAGTAAGTAGGATACAATGCATAGGGTGGACAAAGCTTTATTATCCACTATTATATTCCATTACATTGTCGAAACAATAGCTTACTCACTATGTACGCCTGAATTTAAACATGGGGAAAAAGATGGTGTGTTAACGGTTTTATATGTGTAGTAAGATAAAAATTTAAAATGACAACTTACTGATAGTTTGAGATATATCGGAAATCACTTTTTGAACCAACTGTAAACTATCCGATAAATAATTTTCTTGTAATTCAAAGTACTTAAGTATAAGGCGTGAATAGTTTTCTTCTTCAGCGGCGAATGAATACAGATCACGAAGTAATTGTTCCTGGATTTTTTGATAAGAACAATAAAGGGGGATACATAGTCAGCTTACAAATTTTAGTTGGGTGGAATTATTATTATCACTGAATTTGTACCGAGTTCTACACCAAACTGAAGCCAATAATTTCAAAGAAATTGTAAGTAGAGCCTTTGTCGAAATAAATGTGCTTATCACAGACTGGTCTTAAACAACCACTGAAAAACACGAAGTGCTGAACAATCGTTTGGTTGTAGTATGGGACTTCTCAGCAGTGACCACTCGTGGCCCCACCGAGAGTCAAATCCAGGACCTTCGGGCCTCGTAGTGAGCGCTTAACCTTGAGATCACTAATCCAGTTGTCTATATATCTAGTTTAAACCAATTAGCGATATTGTCCACTCATCTCCCAATGACATTAATGGCTAACCACCTCACAGCCAACAGGGTTGAACTCCACTGACCACAGCTTCTCCGTAGGACTTCTGGAGATTATTTACTGGGGAGTACATAATTATTACTATTGTTAGTATAAACTATTGGATCCAGAATCAGCCGTCGAAAGGTTAAACGCTAGCTGAGAGGCCTTAAAGTTCCGAGTTCGACACCCCGTAAGGTTGTAGATGTTCATTGCTGAGGAGTCCCATATTTGGACGAGACGGTTGTTCATTATTTTTCAATCTCGGTGGTTATTTAACTTAGGTCATTCTGTGATACAAAATCTGAGACTATGAAATAATATTGGGACGTAAAATCTATGAAACGATAAAGAATGAGTGCACTTCTGGGTCTCTATGAATAATTTCTAACCGTATTACTACTTTCATACACTGAATATCTGCCAGGAATACTTCCAATAATTGAGTATATCTTCCGTTTCTGTCTTCGTTTCATAACTCATATAGAGTTCCTACTTATTTATATCACTTTCTGAAAAAAAACTTTGATTAGCATATACTACTTTGATGATGTTGTTACATTTTTATTTATCATTACTATTCTTTATTTTAAATACTCATATGTATAAGATAAATATCGTGGTTGACTTAGTGTATCAATATCCGCTCAATAATAGATTATACTAAATACTAGATTCAAATCTCCAATACACAAGAATTACTCTGTTTTTTTTTACTTATGATGTAGTACACATATAGAACATGTTCAACTAAAGAAATATAAACTTTATGCTCTTAGAATGACAGCAAAACTGTAAGAAAAAGAATATTAATCACGAATTTAGGAGTTTTCAAAAGAAAAACAAACGTGGAGTAATATCATCTTGTTGCTTAGAGATTCGTAAGTTTTATAATTTACTCTAAGCAACAACTGGGATATGAGACATCTATAAGTTTTTATTTACCCATGTAAAACTCTCTATCCCTAAGTAGTAAATACTAATCTCAGGATAGATAATTTTACTTATTACTATTCACAAAACTATTACATAAAGTGTTCTAATAGAAATAAGTACTAAATTAATAGGGAAAATACATTCTCGTTTAATAAACTTTACAAAAGTATCAAAAATGCAATCGGAATTCGATATTCAAACCACAATATTGATCGGTTCACAAATTCAATGAAATTAAACAATCTTCACAAACCCTATACTGTAGATATGTGAAGTTCCAGTGCAACCGTTGATTAGAATAGTCTTTAAAAACTACAAATTAAAGAAAACCTTAATTTTATTATTATTATAACACATAGATATTGGTACAAGGAGGTGCCAAATACATATGCGCCACACAAATCCCATTTGATTTGTGAGAGGGCTGTGATACTGCCCGGGTGCCTAAACTGAAGCAGGTGGTTCGCTTAGGGGGTCACACCCCGAGCCTTCGACCTGAAGGTCTGATCCACAAGACAGTGGAGCATCGTAAGGAGATGCAGTCCCATGGAAGCCGGTGACCAACGATTGGTTCATACGCCATTTGTTCCCGCAGGATACTGGAGCCCATGTGCACCATTGGTTTGGAATCCGGTTAAAGCGCCAGACATTCGCTTTTCGTCCTCTCATTTTCGTAAACAACACCCCCGCCACGAGAAGGCAGTGAGTAGGACTTCCCTGGAAGAGGCTATATACGCGTGGCCATGTGAGAGCATTTCGAGAGGGAGAGCGGACTCTCCCCACTCTCGGCCGTACCAGGGCATTTGGGGGCTAATTTTATTAACTTGTTATTCAATTTGCATCAAGTCTGATACGACTGCACACCAAAAATAGTATGTGACAAACAAATGAAGAGATTATATTGTGAAGAAATAAAGGATGGAGGAGAAATGCAATAAAAAATAACTGGATAAGAATAGTGTATGATGGATAGTCACAGTTTGGTTGAAAATACAACTAAGCAAGACTTTTCCTTAAGTTAACGAGGTTTATTTCACTTTTGTGAAGAATGTAAAAAACCCATGGCAAAATCGATATTAGCTTTTATACTGATCTATGTTTGATAATGTCTTAAGTTATTGAGTTGCACCATCTCTAAGACCTCAATCAGAGGTTGAGATGAACCAACAAATTCCAGTCTTTCATATCACGGCATCAACTTATAACCAAGCAATCTTTCTGTTTTTTCCATAAAACCTTGGTTTACAGTAGATCTCTATTAAAAACATACGTTATCTAACAAATATTAACCCAAGTAGTTGTAGGGAAATTTAAGTGAAATATATATGTTTAAAGAAAATAAAAGAAACCAATGAGTTTTCCATCCGTACTTTTGAAGATTCTAATTCACTTTTTTTCTCTTCTAATTGATGTTGAGCTTGACTAATTCGATTGACTGCATCAATTGTCACAGATGGATTACAAGAACCAGGATAACTTGAATTTGTATTTGTTTGAATACATTGCATAGTTTTTTGTAATTGTCCACGTGCATTACGAACATCTGTCAAACATTTTTGTAAATTACGTCGACCTTTTGTAATGTTGACACATGTTTCTTCAGTTAGACGATTTAATGGTTCAACAATTTGACGTTCTACTCTATTCTCATGATCTCGATGATATGTAGATAGAGTCAACAAAGCTTTACTAGCTTCACGAGTGACACAACTAGTGAGAAAAATAAATAAAAAACACCTTTCATGAATTATTTTCCAAATCTAAACGACTAGTTTCATAACAATTGAGCATCGAGTGTATGGTCATAAAATACTGTCAACGGCTTTTGTCACATCAGATCAAACATCAATACACATACTCTACTTTTATTATTACAATTTACCTACATGTCACTAAATAACGCATATCCACATTTTAATACAATCCGAATTTAACCACTCGACATAACTGGATAGGCGTTTAGTATACAGCTGTGTTGTGAACCCTGGGTATATTAGATAATTTTGATTACTTCCCTGAAGCTCGGATTAAAATGCCGAGTAAAATGCTGAAGTCATTTTTTTACCTCGATCACTGCGATTTTTTAAAATATCATTTCATTTTTAAATACACTGCAACCCATTAGTAGATAGATAATATGTACAAATCACTTATTATTGCTTATCAATCAGTGGTCAGATTCATTTTGAACAATGGAGTTAGATTAATTGTTTTACACTATAGATTGTCAATATACAGTATGTTCGCCGGAGGCAAATGGTTAGGAATGGTGCGTCAATGACAATATGAACGTACACTACTGAATCTTTGGTAGTATTCTGACTGTAATCAAGGAACTAAACGAATGAAGTTTAAATTATCAGTCTTAATGCTTGACTTAAACTTAGTTAAAATATAATAACCTATAAAACACAAATTTACGTATTCGGTTTTGAGCAAAACATTTTGTGTTACAGTTAGTGATAATACCAAGATTATCCAAAAGGAAATACAAGTCTTACGTAAAACCATGTCAAAACTTTACATACACATAAAGTTCATTAATAACTCATTCACGAGGCGCAGACTGGTGTTGAAATTATGAAGAATATTTGTAGCTCTAGATGAAGATTTTGAAGGGATCGTGTTCTCTTGGCCGGACGGTTTGATCGTGAAGCTAATATTATCTTTCTCGACAGACTCTTGTCTTTGTAATGGGAGTAATGTCAGCTAGTGATACTATTAAGTCGCTCGAACTGAAAATCGAGCGATATTCAAGCTTACTACTTGGTGGCTAAAAGTCATTTGCATTATCCACTGAGTCACTATATATCTGCATGGTAGAGCAACGAAAAGACAGATTTGATCTGAAAAATGTTACTTATTTGCTTTAGATGCATACGTATATACCGTCCCCTTTTATACCACAGCTAGACCACAACAGGGTAGCTAGCAAACCGCAGTGCAGTGTAGACCAGGTATATTCCATAAGTAAGTCAAGTCTTCGGCGTCCGACGTTACTGATAAAACGAGAAAATCGAGTTGAAGTTTGTCTCCCTGACAACATTGGAGGCTCAACTTGAGTATTTAAAGGAACAAACAAATACAAGAAAATACACCAAGGTGATTCACAAATAACATCACATAAGACATCTTGTGAAAAACTTCATCTGAAAATGTTTAGAAATTAAAGTTATGGTTTATGCTCCTTCATGAGGGGTAACTGGCGTAAGTAAGCAAGTAACCATCAATAGTAGCATTTTCAGATATTTTCGTTTAAAAAGGTTACAACCGGGTTTTTTTCAAACATTGTGCATTGTTCATGAAAGGGTGATCTTTCATCAAGAAGGAAAACTTTATTATGTCCACATAAAATGAATAGAAACCTTTATCAATAATGAAACAGAAGGGTAGTCTTAAATGAAGCAGAATAAAGTTGACCAAATAATATAGTCAATAATAACATGTGCAACTTCATTGACTACGAGAAAGCATTTGATAGCGTGGACAGGAAAACACTATGGAAGCTTCTTTGATACTACGGCGTAGTCAATATCATACGGAAATCCTATGATGGATTAAACTGCGAAATTGTGCATGGAGGACAATTGACAGACTCGTTCGGGGTAAAGACCGGTTTCAGGCAAGGTTGCTTACTCTCACCCTTTCTCTTTCTCCTAGTCATCGACTGGATCATGAAGACGTCAACATCTGAAGGGGAACGCGGGATACAGTGGACATCTAGAATGCAGTTGGACGATCTAGAGTTCGCAGGTGATCTGGCTCTTCTATCGCAATCGCAACAACAATTGCAGGAGAAAACGACCAGTGTAGCAGCAGTTGTTCTCAACATACACAAGGGAGAAGCAAGATTCTCCGATACAACACAGCATGCACCAATCCAGTCACAATTGACGGAGAAGATTTGGAAGATGTAAAAACCTTTACATATTTGGGCAGCATCATTGATGAACATGGTGGGTCTGGTGCAGATGTGAAAGTGCGGATCGGTAAAGCAAGAGCAGTATATTTGCAACTTGAAGAACATCTGGAACTCAAAGCAACTGTCAACCAACACCAAGGTCAGGATTTTCAATACAAATGTCAAGACAGTTCTACTGTATGGGGCGGAAACCTGGAGAACTACGAAAGCCATCATCCAGAAGATACAGGTGTTTATTAACAGTTGTCTACACAAAATACTTCAGATCCGTTGGCCGGACACTATTTGCAACAACCAACTGTGGGAAAGAACAAACCAGATCCCAGTGGAGGAAGAAATTCGGAAGAAGCGCTGGAAGTGGATAACACACACATTGAGGAAAGCACCCAACTGCGTCACAAGACAAGCCCTCACATGGAATCCACAAGGCCAAAGGAAAAGAGGAAGACCAAAGAACACATTATGCCGGGAAATGAAGATGGACATGAGAAAAATGAACAAGAATTGGATGGAATTAGAAATGAAGGCCCAGGACAGAGTGGGTTGGAGAATGCTGATCGGCGGCCTATGCTCCGTTAGGAGTAACAGGCGTAAGTAAGTAACATGTGCAAGAAGTAACAAGCTGTGAAAATTTTCCACAGACTGTAAAAATAAGTAACACTGACAAATGCATTTCATCTGAAACAAATAACAGTCATAAGGAAGAAGGGATATTTGAAGGTTTTAAGTAAAAAAACGTTTTACTTTATGGGAAATTAGAAAAGTAACATTCAGAATAGTACATCTATTATATTTAGTAACACATATAGTCGTTCGCAAATTGAACACTAACCAACCGAGAAATATTTTAAAAGAAAAAGTATGATATTGTAGAACACCACTAACATTGTTATAAAAAAGAGGTTAGATTAAAGAAGTTTTATAATTTTCAAAATGTACAGGAACAAGCAAAAATGATACTTTTGACATCTAGACCTAAAATGATGAGAAAGAAGCTTGAAATAATGAACACATAAATAAATAAAGTAACTACTGAAAGTGTTCAATAACTTATAAATATTCTTTTTATTTCATTGGAATGTTCTATTAATTAACTAATTCATTTTGTACGTAATTGACTTGGTTTACTCATATCTTATTAGTTAATTTTATCAGAATAAAAACAGAAAGTAAAATTAATGAGATAATCACAAATGTGATTTTATTCTGAACTTATTTGATTTAATTTCTCTATCAAGTACAGACAGATAGACGTCCTTAATGTATAGCCTGACATAGATGTGCACTAGCCTGTTGCCACACCTAATTAGCGGGATATGATGAAAATAACAAAGAGATAGAAATAATGTCGTACCAAGAATAAGCGGAGAGATTACATCTGGTTTGAACATATAAAATGGAAGGATAGAATAAAACGATACTGGTATTCAAGATCACGAGAAAGATAAAGAGTGAACGCATCTGAGCTATGTTACCCAATGTCACCAAACATTGAAAACCATTATCACGTGGAGCCCAATCAGATAGTCTGCAATCACCAAAATGGTTCAACGCAAAAGTCAACTATTTAATAGATTGATGCTCCCAATTTCCTTCCAACCTACTTCTGCACTAGTAAACATCGCTCGTTGAGGTAGGCGGTGGTTAGGCACACGTAACACATGTACCAAATACCTCCGTTTGTGAAAATTCATTACCTTATCAATCTATTTATCATATATACCTAGTACCCCATATCTAACACTAAAATCACTTACTCGATCATGACACAAGCACAAGCTTTCTTGTACACTCGGCTTGTGGAGAACTGTTGGTGTGCGAGTGTTAGCGAAAAATTAAGACTACCGAAATCGAGGTGTTATGGGGTAGTTATGGGGGTAGTTAAGTACATTAATCACTAAAACATTGCTCTACTCTAATTTACATGATTTCTAAACAAATCTTTAATTAAGCAATCTACATAGTTTTAAAATAATATCTACTGTCGATTGTTAAGCCATGTACAGTGAAAGCTTTGCATACTTTCTAGTTGTTTTCTAGTTCATAGAAATTTTCTACTCTTGAAACCCTAATGGAAGATGGAAGGCAATAAATATTGAAGTTTACCTTAAAGTTAAGAGGATATACAAAAAAGTATCCATAAAATGATAGGTAGTTTTGAGATTCTAAAGTCTTCCAGAGAGAATGCTAAAATTGGTAGTAAATGCGACAGTTTTACAATCATAATAAGAAGAGGGCAATTAATCATTCACTTAATTTTTCTTAAAAGTTTTCATAAAACACCTATCAATCGAAGTATTTTCGGTCCTTTCCCTAGCTTCTACAAAATTGTCGAGGGCCCTCAACACCCGTTTTTTGACATGGCTTTGGAAAATAAATTCCTTGGATTTATCTGAAATTTTTAACGGATTTTTGACATTTCATCTTCCGATGTGTTAATATATTTTAATTATACTTTAACTATTTCGTTCTAAGAATAGACCGAGTTCATTAGAAAAGCGTCCATTAAAGTGTTTAGTGGAAGTGTCGCGGCAACATGTGTTTTTTTTATCTCATAGGATTAGACTCATATGCCCTGTCCAAAAGCAACACCAGCACTTGGTCTTAGAAGTATAATGTCATACGTAGCGCTGCTAATTGTTAAACAACAACCTAAACGACTTAAGAAGATTGGTGTTATCGATCCACTAACGTTTTCAGCACGGGCCACATTAATTACAGTTAGAAAACCTAAGGGTACTGTCCATTTGTTTGCTGACTATTCAACCGGACTTCATGCACTTCCAGA